CATTCTTCAAGATATCCTCTTTTGTGTTGCACAGAAGAAAGTCAGTCAAAACAACAGATTTTGAATGACATGATGGTGTGTAAATGATGACAGCATTGTCATTTTTGGGTGAACTATTGCTTCAAATGCTGATGTTTCTTTCCTCTGGGTTGTGATACAGTTTTTCAGAGTAATATAATTTGTCTTTCTTTGTTTACAGTATTCTAAACAGTGGAAAGATAAAAGATGTGATCGATCACACAAAGCTTGATCCGCTGCTTCCTGAAGACATGATTGCACCACTGGAACAGCAGTTTTTGATCACAAAGGAGGTTTGATGCTTTATGATATCTTTACCTAACACATCTCTGTTTTATGTCACTTTAAGCCTAGACACCATAGTTAAACAGGGTAAAGTGAGTTTTCAATAATAGATACTTCCCCAGCTAATTAATTGCATTAAGACATTACATTTGTTTTACAGTTTTCTATAATGTTATGCTTAGATATGCAAATAGAGCATTTTAATTGAAACATGCATACATTTGCATGAATGAAGCTATATATATATATATATATATACTGTAAAGCTTAGTGTAAGTACTAATGAAGTGGAGATTTCTGGCTCAGAGCAGAAAAGAGGCCTTTAAAGACTTAGATGCAAACTACAGATGCAAATAGATAAAGTGCATTACAATAAGCACTTAGAAGTGTATTATATACATTTTCTTTCCTTAGTTTAAGAGAAGCAAAATAGTCAAAAATCTCAAAATTTTGAAAACACAATGTCTTGCCTTAGATGTGCTTCCAGCAAAAAGCTTAAATTTTAATTTTCTCACATTGTTCACTAGACGGAGTTGAGCACATGCCTTCACAAAATTCTGGACAGAGAAGAAACAGCCTGGAAGGAGGGAGAACTTCCACAACTGAGAGACCAGGTGTACTGCTGTGATCAGGCCATTGATATCATCGAGGTAATTAAAAAGGGGAAAGTAAACCATTCTTTACCTTCATCAAATAATGGATTTCTGGAGGAAAACTAATTCCCACCCCAATACTTTTCTTAGTGCTTTCATAAACATGTAGTGTGTGCTCAGCACATGCTAGGCAAAGAGGCAAAAGCACAGAGGATCATATGCCAGATGAGACATTTTCTGACAGAGTGAGTAACTCTTAGCTATTTAACTGATTCATTTCCCAAAATACCATCCTTTTTTATCATTCTTGCTTTAAGTCTGTACTTCTAAATATTTTACACAGATGATTATAATTAATTCAATTCCATCCCACAGTTACAAAACATTTCATGACAAGGTAATGAGGAGCAGGCAGACCAACACTGAGGCCATTTTGATGGTCAACCTCTCATGCCTCATACAGTGCAGGTGCATGTCCCTTTTATTCAGCTAAAACATCAAATCAAACCTTTCTGAATTTGTGTTGAAATTGTTTTTGTTTTGTTTTCCCACAGGGACTATATTACAAAGAATGCACATCTGTTCCCTGAAGATATCAAAACTGATTGTCTCTCGTTATTGGCTACCATGACAGAAAGCAGCCACTGTTACTTTACTTCTAATATGCATAGGGAACTTAAGGTAAAAGCAACATTTTGTTACTTTCACTATTATGTAATGAAACAAAAAAACAAACAAAAACGTATTTTTGGCCAATGTTCTGTCAAACTTTTAGAATATGAATTTCAAGAGTGTTGTGAATGTTGATGTTCAACTTCTGCCATGGGAATTATTTGACCTAAAATGTGCTTCATGTACTGTACATCTTTTTAATTGTTTTTATTCAGTAATACATAGTGTATGTATGCATGTATGCATATATATATACAGTGGGTACGGAAAGTATTCAGACCCCCTTAAATTTTTCACTCTTTGTTATATTGCAGCCATTTGCTAAAATCATTTAAGTTAATTTTTTTTCCTCATTAATGTACACACAGCACCCCATATTGACAGAAAAACACAGAATCGTTGACATTTTTGCAGATTTATTAAAAAAGAAAAACTGAAATATCACATGGTCCTAAGTATTCA